GAGTTGTAGAAGAATCTGACAGTGCACTTCCTCCACCTTCTTTGAGGAGACGTGTTGAAGAGAACTCTTCTCGATTGCCGACAGAGTATGGTGACGTGACGGCCCCTCCTTCAGGTCATCCTTCTTCACCCTCCAAAGATTTGCCTTCGTCCAAAAGAGGAGGCAGGAAAGGGAATAGGAGGTTTGACAGAAACTAGTGAGTGAAGTGTCTCACTTTCGACTGAAACAATTCTATATTTTTATATGTGCATGTGTATATATGTTTTTGTGGAATGTGTATATGAATATGTACATATGTATGCATAATGAGTCTTTCCCTGATAATCTATATGAGTTTTGTTTGTTTGCTTTTGTGTTTGGGTTTTGGAATAGTTCGTGAGGTTTTAATTGTGATTGCTTGATTGAGAGATTGAACTAAGATTGAGATAGACTAAGGTGTGTGGTGTAAGTTCTTTGAATTTATAATTTATTCTTTCTGGGAGGTTAGGGGGGGGGGAGGGTGAGGTTGTGGTGGAATTTCAATATATTTAAATGTTGCTTTATGAATTTTCATTAGCAAGAATTTTGGCTCGGTGAATATAAACCGTTTAGTTAGAGATTTAGTTGGTTATATTTTCCCCTAAAAATTTAAATTCAAGTATTCATGCGTGTATGTTATTGAGATGGAATGATTGTGCCTATTGGATTGAGTGAAGGGGATTGATTTGGGTTGGTTTCTTTTTATACGAAAGATGTGTTTTGGATGTGTGAACTAGAGGAATTTTATCATGTCTCACTACATTTGCAGTGGGGGTTATGAGGCGGAGACAGCGAATTTATTGATCGGAATTACCCGATCGGAATCCAAACTCGCTGATGATCAATCTCCATCTGATCTTGGCAGCCTCCAATCAAGTCAATCCTCCGAAGCCTCTTTGATTACGTCTATATCTAGTTAATAATTTTCTCTCTACACCCTTCTCCCTTTTTGTTGTACATTGCTATAAAAGCTCTCCCTAATCCACTTTCCCGATTTGACCAAAAAGTTGCCGCAATTTTTTTGTATTAATAGTTTGAACTGTTCATTACTGCAATCATTCATCTTCCCTACCCAAGCCCCCCACCGCTCTTTGTAATAGCATTCAATTATACTGTAACTGTGGCCAGTTTGCATTGTTAAAGGCATCCGTTTCAATCGCATAATGAAGGCCTTTGCTGCCTATCCTATTGTTGCTAACTCTCCTTCTCTTCTCCCCTGTGCATCGGAATAGTGGAGAAATATTTGAATGTCAGTTGTATAGTATAACAGGGATCGGTAGTAAGCAACTCCATAACCTTATCAGTCTTCCTCCTCCATCTCTTTACTCTTATGTCCTTGAACTTTGTTATACAATATTTTCCTTTACTTATTGTACCCGTGGTGGGTGATTGTACAAATATGCTAATTTTACATGATGATAAAGTAAATGGTTCTTCTCCGAGGTCGTTGTTGTTGACTTTTGAGTGATTTGCTTGAGGTTAAATGGCACTAGGGACTTTCAGATCTCTTCTTCGAAGGCGCGTTCTGTTTCCCATCTTGTCCAAAGAGAAGTTCTCATCAGATGCGACTGCTAAAATACATTAGTCACAGCACTAAATTGATATAATTAATCATCAATATTTCGTAGCCTCGGTAAAAATAGATTTGAAGATGCGTGTTCTTTTAATGTTAAATTAAGTTAATGTGAGTGCAGATTAAATTTGATTATCACTATTATTTATTTATGTTTTCGAGTTTTGTACAGATGATTCTCCACTCTTTATGGTGAACATGTTCGCATTTAAGGGTGAGAATGATTATCGTTTGTTTTTTTATCTGTGCTAGTTCCGTTTGACCGAAGGCATTCTTGTCGTCTCGATTATTTCTCGGTCTTCTTAAAGTGTTAATACTAGTTTTAGGTTTGTTTTTGTTCAATTCCCCTAATATCCTTTTGGAAGGGCTGGAATAGAGGAGTGGTTCAACGAAAATCTCCATTTGTCCTGCTTTTACTTCTTTTAGTGATTGTGGACGTTTTAGAATAGCCTGAGAACGGGAAATCTGCTGTTTGGTTTCACGTCCTGAGTTAATCCAAAAGGACTCTATAAGTTGTGCTCATGGAACAGCACTTTAAAAGGCGTAAGAAGTTTCAAGGAACCAAGAGAATCCATTCTCCAACTGAGCTTCAGAAACAACAGTTGCCAGAATTCTCTATTTGAATTTAGATGAAGTTAAAATAGGCAAAATTTGCGAGTTTATCATATGCTTTCCGCTGTAATTAGAGCCTGTCCCAAGCGCCTGGCTGTTTAAGTTACAGCTAAAATGGCATCTTCAGGGGGTTTTAGTTATTTAGTTTATCACAAGTGAGCGTGTACATTTAACATTGAGCTCGCCAACGAAGGAACCTGATTCACCTGTCTAATTCATTGGAAAGAAATGCTAGTATGTTGAGTAAACTGCTTAGTCCTCGTGTTAGCTATATCTTTGGCCAATTCTTCTAACTAAAGGATGCCTTAATAAGATAAAATAGTCTTGCAAGTGATTGGTTAACGAGATTTTAGTCGAAATTTGTTTTGTAACTATCTAGTTGACATATTAAGTGACTTAACACTTCATAAAAGTTTGGTGTTAGAGTTCTTGGTCGTCATTGCACAAATTTGAGCATGTACTTCCATAAACATTATTTGTACTCAAAGAACAAGTTTGCTGATTGGCTGGCATGATATTACTGTTCTGAAGGTCACTCCGTAGGTCCTAAAATGCTATTATGGATCATCTTTAAGCATGTTTAGCATTTATTAGAAACACAAAGCAGCGTATGCAGCGCTCAAGCATAGATTTTCTTTTCGTGCTATTTTTGAGAAATTTCAAACTTTAAATGGAGATATTCATATCACTGCTGAACTGCTATGGTTTACTATTTACAAAGGCTCATATTGAGGCAACTCTAATTTCAGCCGTTACAGTTGTACATTTCGCTTACAATTAAATATACTTTTTTCTAATTTCTCGATTATTGGAAGTAATAAATGAATTGAAATGAAGGTTCCACTTTCGTTATCAATCCACCTCCCAATAAGTATGACAATTTTTGCAGAACTTGCTTAGTGCTAGGAAGGACGAATAATGAACCTTGCGAAGAGGAAAATTCGCCAGTAAGCTAAAATTGAACAATCGAAATCCAAAAAATATCAACCTCAATGTGACCCCTTTTTAATAACTTGACTCCATTCTTAATGTTTTTTTTTCAATCTATCCTAATTTATCTCTTTCATGACCCTATCATTATCCCATTTCTAGTGCTTGCTCGAAAAATCAGTTTTGTAGTTCCACAGTTTTGAGCGCCATCAGCATTTAATATCTTAGACTGTCACCAAGGCTTTATTCTACAATCTTACACAGATCCGGAAAATTTATATCAAATGGTAGGCGTTTCGATAGTAATCATTAGCCCTTTAGTTGACTTCGGGTTCACAAAAGAGAGGAACATCGAAGTGAGA